ATGGTATTAGCTATTGTGGATGAAAAGGGGGCACATACTAAACCTGACAAGCTCAGGGGAGACCTGTGTGGAGGCCTTACAAGCTCAGAGACCCAAAATAACCACAAAAAATGGTCTGAAATTAAAACTTTTTAACTAAAAGCAGTTTATGGTGGGTAGTTATGTCCTAGGATGGTGCGTTTCCTGGCAGAGGTCAATCTTTACCTTAACTGAGCCTGTCTACTGCCTTTTTGCATCTACAATAACATATCTTTGGAATGTCAAAGTAATTTTCCTTTTTCCAGACCACTCAATGCACAGGAATAATTCAGTGTTACTGAGTTAATTGTTGTATTGTTGACTATTACCCACTTATGTAAAAGAAGTCTATGTCTATCATTTTACTTTTTATCTATTCCCAGAAGTTTCCCCCCGCTTTGTTTTCTCCTAACTCCCTAATCTATCACCAGTGGATTTCATGTAAACCACTGACACCTATTCTTTTTATTGCGGTGTATAAAATAAGGTACAAAAATGCCATTCTCTAGAGCATTATCTCAATTCGCTGAGATTTTGCTTCCTGGCAATTTTCAACAGTTTTGGCTCAAATAAACTCACCAAAATTCTGCACAGGTTTGAATGTTTCTTATGTTGACACTATGTAACTATTTAATTTTATTTCTAACAAAATTATAAATGTACATAGAATTAAGAATTCTTAAAGATAAAGAATTCCAAAAAGCTTATGGTGAAAACAGTGTCCCCTCCCACTGGCATCTCTCTTCTCTTCTTTTGGTATTTCTCTCCATGTTTCTAATTCTCAGGTTCAGTTAACTCTTCTTTACTTTTGAGTCTGTGTCATCTACTAACTTCCTACTATGAACATGAGAATTAACCCTCAGGGCCACCCACGTACCTGTGCCCACTCAGGTCTGACCATCAGTCTTCAGTACCCACTGTCAGGACATGTATGTGGGAGCTCTGGAACCTTATTCCTCCTCCTTCTACATCCTCCTTCTTATATCTCATATGTGTTTCCTGGAGTTAATAAGGGCTTGCTTAGTGTTCTGCATACTTATGTCAATTTATTTCCAAACTCTCAGCTAGGCATCACAAACACAGCAGGGAACAGCCTGTGCTCCTCTCCTACAGCCACCATCTTCCTGCTCCCCAAGCCTCACCCTGCCTGCTCCACTCTGTCCAAAAGTCTATCCCAGGTTTTCAGTGTTCTGGGGCTGACAGGGCAGAGGCTGGCTCCACTTTCTGTTTAGGACAATCCCCTCCTGTGTTTGAAGACTCCAGTCCATCCCCCAGTCTTCAGCCAGAGTAGGGAAGGGATTGTCAGACTAGATGCGGGAGGGGGCTGAGAGTCTGACTGCTTCTTAAACAGATTTTCCACCAATTTCCTATTTCAGCCCTCTTTTTATTGCCCCCGCGCCCCATCTCACCTCCAGCCCCACTTTCAGAGTTATAGGCAATGTCATTCCTGAGACTTGGGTGGTGGGGGGGGGTGCTGTCTGCAATGCAGTACCTTCAAAGTCCCAGGTTGCCTAACACAGATAGACACACAGACACACACGAACACACATGCCTCTTAGCTTTCTGTTTTTCATATCTGGTAGGTCCCTTTGCTTGTCCATCTGCTTCCCAAATTCCCAAATTCTGTCACCTCCTCTCTTAATCTCTTGGTAGCTTGTGCCGTTTTAGTGGGTTTTTTAAAGAAGCAGAGGTCAACTGCAAATTTAATCTCCTATTTTGGCTAAAAATCAAGGAACAAAATTTTTTATTTTAAGATGGGAGCTATCAAGTTACCTAGGATGCTAACAGAGGTGATATGTCAGGGAGAAGAAGCTAAAGCCCAGGAGAGAAGCGGTACAATTGAGGCAGCAGCAAGTCCCTAAGGAAAGGAGAGAGGGCCTGCCCTGGGACATAGGGAGTACCAAGCGGAAGGGCAGGTTGGCAGCATTCCAGATGGGAAGGAGGCACAGTACCAGCTGAGACTGAAATCTAAGGAAGGAAGATCAGATACACAAGCATGGCCTCAGATAAAAGCAAACCCTCCAGGGAGGTGTGTCCAGCGTCAGGGCAGAGATGGAAGCTATGCCAAATCCCTTGACCAATCTGCAGGGCTGCGTGGTCTCCCCGCAACACCACGCAGTAATTGTGCCCAGCAGATACTCAACCACAAGAAGGAGCTGGGGTATTTGTGAGAAAGTGATCACAGAGCTGCCCTGTGAACTGTAGGCCGTGGACAGCAGGGTCACAAAGGACATAGTAGGAAGGGGGCCTCCAGTCAGCAAGCTCATCGGCATAATCCCCCTGTCTGTATTCATTTTGGTGAGTTTTAAAGTTCTTTTTCATATGTTTCAAATTTTCCAGTTCTATAGAGAAAGTTATCTTAATGTAATGTAGGAAAAAACTGTGAAAAGCAAATAACCAATTCAATATTACAAAGCCTAAAGACTTCAAAGTAAATAAAATTTTCAACAAAGTTCTCATTATCATTATCTCTTAATATCCTGCTCTAAGTGTAGTTGAAGGCCCAGTCCTAAGCTGGGCCCAGAGGGGGCTCTGCCACCAGCTAGCTGTGAGAGCCCTGATACCCCTCTGCCTAACAAAGTGGGTATTCAGGAGTATGAACAGTCTTTGTCTAAGTACAGGCATCGCACTAAGGCCAGAAGTCCATCTTCAGCTTTACTATGTTAGACTGTCCTTCAACTCAGTCTAAAAAAGTGTAGGAAGTTCTCAGAGATGTGCAAATGGAAACTCAAACTCTTCCAAAATCACCAGTTCCCCTGGGCATCACCCACTGCAGATGAGCTCTGTACTGGCTCATCATACCCCCAGCATCCCACCGGAAGACACTGTCGGACTCAACAAAGATTGCCAAGGGAAGAAGAGCCATTTCTGTTCCAACCAGCTGAGTGCTCCTAATAGTCCCCTCCAAACCTGCAGAAGAGGCCACAGGTGCCCTATAAAAAGCTAGCTGCCTTCACTTAACCAAGCCTCCGGGAATTCCCAGAGTCCCCACTGCAGCCCTCCAGAACCAATCCTGATGGCTCAAACGCATTGTTTGTCTCTGCCTCTCCTCTGATACAGAGCCCACAATGCTGTGCAGCACAAACAGGGTGGGTAACTCAGCCAGCCTGGCCCACCCCAGCATGCTGGCTCATCTCCAGAACTGCAGACCAGTTCAAACTCAGGCAGAGGAATTTGGACAACACCAAAGTCTAGGGGGACAGAGGCCCAGCACATACAGCGTATTGTTTATATGCCTGAGTTCCAGAGGCCCTTCCCTTGAGGTTTTTGTGAAAATTAGATCCAGATTTGCACAATTACAACATTGGTCCCAAGCCAGGAGGAATTTAGATGTCCTCTATGTAACAGCTTTAGTTTGAAAACACAATCCAACAAAGAAAGAAAAAAGACTACCTGGCTCCCCACTCCCACACTCAGTCTCCATTCTTCACGTAGCACGAATGGACTCAAGATGACCCTCTAGGCCTATAACGTGTCCCTGCTGCCCACTGACCTCATCTCCTGCCCCTGCTCCTTCATTCCACTTGACTCTAGCCACATTGGCCAGGCACATTGCCCAGAGCCTCTGCTCCAGCTCCCCTTGGCCTGGAGCCCTTCACCCTCCAACACTCATAGGACCCACTCCTGCACCTCCTTCATGGCTCTGCTCAGATACCCCCTTCTCAGGAACCTGCACTGACTGTCCATTCAAAACTGCACCCAGCACTCCCACTGCCCTCCCTCTTCTTCATTTCCTCCACAACAGCATCACCACCTGACACACTTTTAATATATATGATTCGTAACCCCAAGGATATAAGCTAAAGGTATTCCAGAAGAGTGCCTGGCACATCATAAGCATTCCATAAATACTTGCTGAATTAAGGAAATAACAAACAAGGTCTTTGTTCAAATGATTTGTTAAATAAGAACTCTTCTCTTCAAATGTTGGTCAGGAGTCCGTTACCCACCAGCCCTAAATACCCATGTGTATGTGCTCTCGACTCCTCGCCATTGTCTCCCAAGGGGCCTGCTGATGACTTCACTGCCCTGCTGCAGGCAACAGGCCTTGGAAGGTCAGTGGGCTGTATCTGTACCACCCTCCCACCAGGATGGTTGAGCTCAGCACTCCATGGTTGCCACTCAGGGCCGCCATCTAAACCACTTGATGTAAAGGGCAGATACTGAGTTCACAGCCCACATCACATCATCAAGGCAGTTTCCACTTATCCTACCCTCGTGAAGCGAACTCAGGCTCATAAATTCAAAGGCCTCACCACTGACCACCAAGTGATATCACCTCCTCAAGCCTTAGAAGTAAATGGAAGTACCTACCTCACAAGGTACTGTGGGGACCGAGCAAGGTATTCAGACCAACATAGCTGACACAAATCAGGCACTTCATAAACATTAGCTGCCCCATGACTATGTTTGTATTCCATGCAAGACTGCTGAAAACTTTTAGAAATATTACTATAAGTTTTAGAAAAAGAGACCTCTTAAGGATAAATTTAAAGGGAATAATTTCAAGATAGTTTTGCAAACTGAAGTCACAGCCACAAAAAAGGTATACACAAGGCCTAGGCATGCCATCATGGCCACAGCATACACTCATCACTGCCCGGCTGTGGGCACTGCTAGAGCATAGGGCACAGATGTGTGTCTACTCAGGGCACACTAACTACTGGCCCTCAGGTCCATTGCTAGACAATTTGGTCAGGTTAAGTTTGGAGAAGAACAGTTAATAGAAAAGGAGAAAAATGCCTTTTTTTCAAACTTGGTTCTACAAAAGCTAGAAGGGAAATTGTGCACATCACTGGCACTGCTGTTGCACCCTGACCTGTAACAGGGTCCTCATGTGACATAAAACCAAACCACAAGGAAGGGCAGCAAGACACACGGCTTCATATGCAAGCAAGATTTGAAAAGTCAACTGATGTAGAAAGAATCACTCAATTTAAAGACATAACCTCTATAAAGGCATTATAAGAAGCACTACTTACATGGAACCATGTGAAGATCTTCTCTCTGTGTAGATAGCCCTGTAAACAGGTTAAAAATTATTATAATTGTAAATCATACATAGAAAATAAAAAAAGAATGCTCTACCACTTTAGATATTAAACTTCATAAAACCAAAGTAATTAATTTTTAAAATGCAATCGTAAATCAGTTATTTGGGAAGTTAAGGCAGTTTTCCAGAGAAAGAATTCCACAAAAAGTGGTTACATTCTAAACTGAGTATGGAACTTAAAAGATATCGATAAATGCTCAGAGTCCCAGACTCCTCTAAACCCTGGCCGGACCAAGGAGGCCTGCCTGTGCAAAGACTTCAGTGGCTGGTGAACTGCCAGAGATTTCTTCAGGCAAGCCAAAGCCTCAGTCCAGTAAGGACTGAAAAGGATGGGGGTGTCAGAAACTGCCAGGGGAGGGCACCCACTTCTATCTGTGACAGAAGAGGGACTGACTCTCCCACCTCAAACAACTGAGAAAACAGACAAAAGACCTGAGACAGGGTTGTTCAGTCACAGGACAACAGGCATCACAGGACAATGATCCCTGATGGAAAGAAACAAAGTGATGCATCTTGATTGCCCAGCCTGCAGTGTGGGGAGAGTTTCCAGGCCACAGTGCAGAAAGCGGGGTCAGGCAAAGCAAGGGGAGTCCTGGGAGGAAGAAACAGGATTGCGATTCAGAGAGGCTAGAATGAACAGGGCATAGTATCAGAAAGAAGAGGGTTGCACAGAGATGAATTCCAGAGACCTGTGTGTGGGGGGGGGGTACCTCAGTCTTCATCTTGACACCAATTAGCACGTGTGAATGAGCAAGCTACCTGCAACAGAGTCAACAGAAAGAAGCAGGACAACAGGAGTTGTAGCTTCCATAGCTCTAGGAATGCATTCACTCCCAACAACCAGACCAGGGAATCTTGTGGCACAGGAGCCACAGGGCTGCGCTCTTGGAAGAGTGTCTTCCTTCGTAGAAAGGCCATATTAGCACCAGAAGAAACTGGTGTACTAAACTAGGAACTTCCTAACAATGTCCAACAACAAGCCACCAAAGGATCTGAACTTTCCAACTAACTTAAATGCATTCCAACAAGAAAGTTTAAAAATATCTCAAAGAATACAGTACAGAACCCAACAACATAAATTGTACAATGTCTTCCACCTATTCAAACATTAACAGGCATGCAAAAAAGCATGACAATACATCTCAAATTAGGACAGTTAATCAATAAAAAAAAATTACACACAAAAATAATTAGTGTACAAGGTTCTTAAAACAGCTATTATAAATGCACTGTATATGTTTAGGAAAATATAACATGCTAAGGAGAGACGTGAAAAGCATAAAAAAAAGACCCAAATCAAACATCTAAAAATATATATATCTGAGATGAAAAATACACTGGAGGAGATTAAAGTTATATCAGTCAAAAGGAAAGATAGTCAATATGCAGACAAAACAGTATGTGCAGACAGAATCTAAAATGAAATACAAAGAAAGAAAGACCCCTTTTTTCCTTAAAAACAAAAACACAACACAGAAATATATATGTAATTGAGGGCTTAGAGGGGAGGCCAGGTTGAGACAAAAACATATTTCAAGAAATAATGACAAAAAATTTTCAGAAATTGATGAAAATAGTGAGCCTATGGAGATTCAACGAGGTCAACAATCCCCAAGCAGAAAAAACATGAAGGAAATTAAACCAAGGTACATCATAATCAATTTACCGAAAGAGAAAATCTTAAAAGCAGCCAGAGAAAAAAGAAACATATGTATAGAGAAACAAACACAGACATGGTGGACAGAAAACTTTTCAGAAACAATGCAAGCCAGAAGTTAATGAAATTCCATCTCTAAAGTAATGAAAAAAATCCCTATCAGGTCTGGCTCAGCGGTTAGAGTGTCAGCCTGCGGACCAGAGAGTCCCAGGTTTGGTTCCCGCTAAGGGCATGTACTTCGTTTTCCAGTTTGTCCCTGGCCCCGGTTGGGGTCAGGTGGGTGGCAACCACTCAATGTGTCTCTCTCACATTGATGTTTCTCTCTCTCTCTTCCCTCCTTCTCTTCCTCCCGCTCTATCCGAAGATAAATGCAAAAATGTCCTCAGGTGAGAATAAAAAAATAAAGTAATGAAAAAAAAAACTGTCAACCTCAACTATCACATGTAGTGAAAAGAACTTACATAAAGGCAAAATGAAGACTTTTTCCAACAGACAAAAGCTAAAATAATTAATCACCAACATACCTGAACTAAGAAAAACATTGAAGTCAGTCCATCATATAAAAGGAAAATGATATCAGAAAAAAATCTTGACTTATATAAGAAAGGAAAAGCACTGGAAACAAAAAGTTCATGAATAAATAGAAATGCCTATTTTACTTAATTTTTTAAATTATTTTAAAAGATAATGGACTGCTCTGGCCGGCTGTTCAGTGGTTAGAGGATTGGCCCTTGGACCAAAGAGTGTTGAGTCCGATTCCAGTCAAGAGCACATACCTCAGTTGTGGTTTGGTCCCTGGCCCTGGTCAGGGTCATGTGGGAGGCAACCAATCAATGTGTCTTTCTCACATCAATGTTTCTCTCTCTCTCTCTCTCTCTCTCTCTCTCTCTCTCTCTCTCTCTCTCTCCCCCCTCTCTCCCCCTCCCTCCCTCCCACTCTATCTGAAGATAAATGGGAAAAAAATATTCTCCGGTGAGGATTTTTTAAAAAAAGATAATAGACCATTTAATGCAAAAATAATAACAATGTATTGTGGAGTTTATAACAATGTATAAGTAAAATGGCATGACAACAATGACATAAAGGCCAGGAGAAGTTAGGAAGAAGTTACTGTTGTTAGGTTTTATATTACAAGTAAACAAGTATAATATTCTTGAAGACAGACAGTGATAAGTTAAGGATATATACAATGAATACCAAAGCAACCTCTAAAAACAAAGAAATACAACTAATAAGCTAATAAAGGTGATAAAACTGATCCAAAACAAGGCAGAAAAAAATAAAAAGATCTAATAAAAAATGAAACAAGTAGAAACCAATAGCATATCATATTAACAATCACATTAAATATAAGTGTTGTAAAAATCCTACTGAAATAGAGATTGTAAGACTGAATGAAAAAACAGGACCCCGTACACGGATGAAATTCAGGAGCTCAAAAACACACATAGTGGATCATTCTACTTCTAAAAGATATTATGGCATAAAAGCCAAGGTCTGCTAGCCAATACCACAAAACCTTTCATCTGGAACAGCTTAGAATACTGAAAACTATATTTGAAAAGAGTGTGTACCCACATTGGGTTATCACAGCAGAAGTTACTTCAACTACTCAGTTTGATGAGCTAGTAATAAAGACTTGGTTCAAGAACAAGCAAATCACCCTGGCCAGTTTGGCTTAATGGTTAGAGTGTCAGCCTGTGGACCAAGTCTCAGGTTCAATCCCAGTCAAGGGCATGTACCTCAGTTGCGGGCTGGTCCCGATTGGGGTGGTGCAGGAGGCAGCCAATAGACGTGTCTCCCTCACATCGATGTCTCTCTGTCTCTCTCTCTCCCACCCCCTTCCATCCCTATCTGAAGAATGGAAAAATATCCTTGGGTGAGGATTTAAGAAAAAAACAAAACCAGCACATCAAAAGGAGGAAACAGCAGCTACAAACTCGGCCAAGTCTGGCACTAGATGCATCAAATCAAATCATTTCAGTGAAGAAATGATTTAACCAAAACTTCTACAGTCATCCCATGGGTTCCAACATTATGAATGCCTATGACTATGAACCACCTAAAACTTCTGGTATTGAGCAACCTGGAGGATTGGGGCTGGTACTTCTGTGTGGAATGCATCATGGGATTCTTAGCCTCATGATCTCCAGTAAATTATGTCTGGGTATCCCGGGATCCTCCTTTGGCCTCTATTCCCTATGACATAGATCAGTTTATATACAACTGTATGCCTTACCTAGGGATGATCACTCCAACAGTTTAGATCAGTACCTCTTCCCATAGTGTCCTGATTGAGGGAATATGGCTAGGACTGATCTTCAGTATGATGGCTAACACATCCACAGCTAAATTGAGAGACATTTCCAAATACTTTTAATGGGTCAACTCCAGTCTACACAGATCAGTTATTTATCTTTTTCTATAAGAAGAAATCCTTCCACTTTTTGTGATTGCCTGAAATTTCTGTCCTCTGAGTCTCCTGAGCCAAATTTCAGTATCAAGGACAGTTATTGGTGCCTTTGGAGAAAGCAGAAGCCAGCTAGTTTTCCTTGGTTCCTAGCCTGTCTCAATTGAGTTTACCACCATAAAAGCACCCCAACTAAAGCCAGTACCATGTAAAAATTCCTGTTCCCTAGGAACCATCTTTATTTCTCACACAAAAAAGAAACAACAAACATTTAGGAGCATGACATCAGCAAGACTGGTGGAGTAGGAAGTTCCAGCACTTATACCTCCAGAAAAACAATTATTAACAGCTACTTACTGATAAAAATAGCTCTGAGAAAGCTCTGGAGTATAATGCAGGAGCTACAGCAACCCAGTGGAGCACAAATAACAAAGATGGCCACATAGAAAAGCAGAGGCAGCATTTTACCTGTGTCAGCCCATCCCCCAGTCCCGCAAAGCTTGCTGCCAAAACGAATCCACTAAGCTGTGACTTCCCTCTTCGGAGGAAAAGGGGAGCAGAAGACCCCAGCAGCTTTCATTGCCAAGGACCCAAGCAGCCCTCATGACTGTCAGGAACACCCAAAGTTTTGCCACTAAGGATTCCCTCAGTCTTTGCCCATGCTAATCTCAGCTGACAGAGCTACCCAGAATCCATGCTACTGAGCCCCCCAGAGAAAGAGCCAATGCTGCGACCCTAACCACAGTGGCCCCAGCCCAGCGCATGAACACCCACACCCTTGATGGTTAGGTATGAATAAAATAAACATTGATGGGGTTCAAACAAAGGTTTTAATATAGTACTACCCAAGGTGATGCAGGCCAAAAGGATTAAAGAGGCCCAAACAAGTCTGTTTTATTTA